CACCCCCACCCCGTCCATTCAGCCCCACTGTGAGCACTCAGACCATCATGCCCCACAGATATCATCTCTCTCAACCTCACAACCACCCTCAACAACCATGGGCCCATGCTTTGATCACCCCAATTTTATAAAGACCCCAAAGCTCAGACACATTGAAGAACCTGCCAAGGATATAGCTGCTATGTGGCAAAGTCAAAATCTGAATCCAGGTCTTTTGATCCCAGAGTCTGCACACTGAGAACCAGCAACAAGAGGGTTCCCCCAACACCCTACCCTCTAGGAGGCCAGGCCCAGCAAGGAGTAGGTCTGAGCAGGCCTGCTCCTGCTCCTGTCCCCAGGGCTCTTCCTGCCCACTTGGCTAGGCTCCCACCTTGATCTTCTGTTGATAGATATTATCATCCTCAGCATACTCCTTGTACAGGACCGAGAGCTCCAGCCGCTCTGATACCAGAGGATTCTGCACAGCAATCTGCGGAGGGGAGGAAATCCATTATGCTCTGGCACGTGGCTGGAGTGACCTCCACCTAACAGCCAGAACACCTAAACGAAGGGTGCTGGGCCAGTCACCCAGCGGCACAGGCATCCAGTATCTAGCACAGCTTGGAAAGGAGAGGGCTTCCAAAGTAGAGAAAAACAGGCCTCAGGCCCAGCCTATGCATCCCCATAATAGGGCCACTGGCCACAGCCTCTCACCTCTTGCTGAATTCGGTCCTGCTGAGCCATGATGGCTTCATCATAGGCAAGACAGTTAACACCTGGAAGAAGGAAAAAGGCCAAGGATTACAGTGGGGCCTTGCTAGCTCCACTCTAGGGAGCTGGACCAAGGACAAAAGCAGCCAGCAGAGCAGACTTAGAATCAGGAAGCATGCATCTTATACCCTGTTCCACCCAACTGTGTGATCTTGGCAAAGCCCTTCCCCTCTAAGGCCTGTTTTCTCACATTTAAAATGCAGAGGCAGAGGCGATCACCCCAAGGTGTGTCTTCCAGCTCTAACACCCCTTTCCCCTGCCCTCCAGCTTTCTAACATCACTTCCCAGCAGCCTGGGAAAGCTCTGGGGCTAGGCAGGGTCTCCTGGGGAAAGTAAGAGGAGGAGGCAGAGTCCTGGGCTGGATGAGAGCTTCCTGTGAGCCTGCCCTTTACTTGACCACACCCTTCCTCCTGCAGTTCTGTGTATTCTTAATGGTGCCCATTTCACAGATAAATGCAGACAGATGAAGTAACCTGCCCAAGGTCACAACTAGTCAAGACTTGTGATCAAACCCAGGTTTGCCTAATTCCGAAGGTTTATTAGCTCTTCACCATAATACCTCTTCTCTGCCACCTCACTGCAGAGAACTTTCCTCAGCTGTAAAAAGGAGCCAATACCGCCGTCTTCCTCCCCTCAATGAAATATCATGAGATGGTACCTTTGAGGCACACTCTGAGCAGCTACTGGTGAGAAGCCAGGAGCAAGGAATTCTGGTCCTGGCTTCTTCTTAACTTATGTGATCTTGAACAAGTCCCTTCTGGGGGCGTGGGTGTCCCAGTGATCAGTCCCTCAAGTGTGCGGTTCGAATGGGGCAGAGGGGTATTTTAAGGCCAATACTTTGGGGCCTGAGTATTCCGGATCCTCAGCTGCGCCTCGACCCATTCCCTTCAGTGCCCTGCAATGGGGCTGTCCCTCCCACCCAAAAGGCCTACTTAGTTTCCAGGGCCTAATTCGTGGGTGAAAATGGAGAGAGTGGCACCATTTTGAAAGGTCCAACTCTTCAGAGATCTAAGAAAACAATGCCCAGGCAGGCGGAAAGGGGCTGCAAGGCCAGAAGAGGGGGCTCTGCCGGAAACGCAGGCTGCAGCCTCCAGGCGCACACACCGCGGCCGCTCACACCCCCCGCCGCCCGTAGCATCCCCAGCGGCCGCCCAGTCCTTTGTGCTCCGCGGCCCGGTGTAACACGATGCCCTCCCGGGCGCCGGCTGCTCGGGGGAAGGCGGGTGAGTGGTGGGCGCCGACATAGGCCTCCGCCTGACTGCAAAGACCTGGGCGGCAGGGCTGGGGACCCAGGAGCCCGGCGCCAAGGGGGCTGAGCGGGGGGCGGGGCGGCCCAGGCCCCG